ATAGAAAATTAAAGAGAAGCCAGGGAAGGAAAAGGAGACCAGTGATCTGTTAGGAGGCCACAGCAATAATCCAGGAAAGAAATGCTGGAGACTTGGATAAAGACGCTGGTAGTACGGATGGGAAAAGTAGTTAAACTGATTCTGGAGACATTTTGAAGACAGAACAGGATTTGCTGACAACCTGGAAATAGAGTTGGAGAGAAAGAGAAGAGTCAGGAGGATTCCACGTTTTGTTTTGTTTTGTTTTTGCTTAAATAACCTGAAAAAAATGGAGCTAACACCCATTAGGTTGGTGCAAAAGTAATTTGCCATTAACGGCAAAAAAACACGATTACTTTTGCACCAACCTAATAAAATGGGGCAGGCTACAGGTGGAGTAGGTTTGCAGAGAAAGATCAGAAATTTTGTTCTGGCCATATTTAGGTTGAAGTACCTTTCACATATTCATGTTAAGAAGTCAAAAAAGTAGTTGGAGGTGTCTGAGGTGGAAATATTCATTTAGGAGTTTTAAGTAGCTGCACAGTATTTTATTAAAGCCCTGTGACTATTTGTGCCAACAAGCTGGCAAGAACGGGGCCTTGGCACATTCTAAATTCATAGGCAGGTAAAAAGACAAAACCAGCACAAATTTAAAAACAACTGAAAAGAAACCAGAAGGACAGCGGTATAGAAGGAAAGACAACACAGTGTGGTGTCCTCAAGAAACAAATGAAGAGAGAATATTAAAACAGAAGGAATAACAAATTACATCAAATACTGCCAACAGGTAAAGATGTGACTTGAGTGTCAGATATAACTTGGAATATTTGCTTGTGAAAATTCCCTAGTGACTATCTCCTATACCACCACAACCAAGACAATATGCTCATGCATTGAATATGTTATACTTCATTCTTCCCAGGCATTCAACTTGTTTTTCTAAAGAACCATCCATAAGAAAAATTTTGATCCAATTTAATATTTGGGACTCAAATCAGTAGACTTTTTAGAAATACCAGTTGATAAACTGCAGATGCTAATGATCACTTGCTAATATTCAATTCCCATGTCTTAAAAACATAAAATTACCTCTAGGCAACTTGGAAATGAAAGGACAGATTTTCTTTGTCCTGATGAAGAACTATGATAAACCAAAAAGCCAATATTCTACTATTCTTTCTCCTACTAAAATAAAGAACAAAAACAAGTTTGTACATTACCACCATTACTATTCCATAATGTTCCAGAAACATGTTCCAGAAACTTGTTATAACGTTACAGAAAGCTAAATCTAATGCAAACTGCCACCGAACCAAAATAAAAGTTTTAACTATTAAAAGTAGATAAAAGTGTCATTATCTGCTACTGATTATATAACTTGGGAACATACAAAAATAAACTGCAAAGCTTTTAGCATAAGTGCCAGCTATAAAATAAATACACCAAAATCAACCACCATCTTAGTCTACCAACAGCCAATCTGAAAAGCCCATCACAAAGTAACAAAAACAGATACCTAAGAACTCTAACAGGAAACATTAGGACTCAGATGAAGAAAACAACTCTGCTGAGAGATAAAAGGTCTGAATAATCTTTCATGACCCTTAAAAGAAATACTGATTACAGATGGCAGTCCTTGCCAAACAAACAAAATGCAACATGATCCGGTATTTTTTTAGTTCTAAGGATTCATCTTCCAAGCCTTCCAGATTAAGATGGCAAATTTAACACACATATCCAATTACACCCTTCCCCTAAACTCCACTTAAGTGACAGTAAGGGATCTTTCTAGAAAACATAGAGACCCAAGGACTTAAAGAATTGAAATAGAAACTACAAATCATGAAAGTAGAAAGTAGATGGACAAGTGGCAACTGTCTCAGCCAACTTGAGAGAGGGAATGCTATACTAACAGTGAGAAAAGCCGGGAAGAACTCACTCCAGTCTACTCAAAAGACTGAGGGTAAAAGGGCGACGGGTTAAAATAAGATTAGTAAAAGCTGTATGAGAAGCTCTAAAATTCCAAGATGCCTTCCCCACCTCCTCACTGTAGACCATTGGCAGACAACCCCAGAACCCAGCAAGACTAGAGATTTGTTCTTGGAAGAGTAGGTAAATAGGTAAGTCTGCATGGTGAACCTTCTCCAAAGTGACTACACAGAGAATGGTGAAACCCCAGCCAGACTCCTCCATGACCAGTGGAACCTACACTCTTTCCTCAGTGCAAAACTTTACTGGAAGACCACTCTCTGATCAGCCCGAGAAGACCCTACAAACGGCCCCAGTGAAAAACTCAGGAGAAACAGTGAACAGTCCAAATTGGCTGCCACTGGGGAGGGAGAGTAAGGGATGGGGAAGAAGAGGCAGATGAAAGACCATTTATTTTACAATAAGCCTCTTAGACTTTTAAAGCCGTGCATGTATTAAATACAATAATCCTTATCTGAAAGGACAGGTGCATATAATTGTAATGTTAAAAGGACAGTGTGACTTGCTCTGCCAGATATTTCTAAGTATTCTAAATCTATGATTAAAAAGATGTGGCATTAAGACTAGAGATCAACACACAAATGAGGAGACCTAAAACCGAAGCAGACCCCAGTTAGTCAAGATCTTAAAAAACAATAAAGACCACAAAGCAAAGAAGAAAGGAGGAACTAATTAACAAACAGTGCTGGTATAACTCACTAACTAGGGAAAAGGAGGAGGAGGCAGCGGTATGGGAGTGCTTCATATCCACGTACAATTATAGAATTAAATGTAAAAAGATCTACTATATTTCCAAAATGTTGCTTCATTTATCTCACCTTTCAGATAAAGATGATTAAATTTAATACATGCATACAGTTTTAAAGTCTAAAAGCCCTATTGTAAAATGAGTGGTCTTCCTCATTGCCTTAGTCTTCCTCCCCAGCGGCAGCCACTTTTGACTGCTTACTGCTTCTCCTGAATTTTTCACTGGGGCCATTTGCAGGGTCTTTCTGGGCTTTCCAAGCATGAACAAATACAAGGAAAAAAATCATAAAGGACAAGGTAGAGACCTGTTTATATAGAAATAAAAGTATTTTATTGTTTGAAAAATGCCAAAAAGTGAATTAAATAATGGCCTTTGAAGAAAAAAAAAAACCCACTAAAAATACGATAAAGGTGCAATCTTTTTTATATAAAACAGGTATGTCATTTTTTTAAAATCACCACTTAAAAGTAAAGTAGGCAAAATACCAGAAGAGAGAGCTCCCAAAAGAAAAACAAACAAAAAAAAAGATTATCAATTTCAATAGTTACCAAAAAAAAAATTAAAATATCATATTTTTATAGAAAAATCAGGAAAGATGATGAACACTGGAGTGTTGACACACTACAGGTAGACCATACACTCTGTAAGGGAATGTTACAGCATAAGCAATTTGGCAACAAGCCACAAGACTCATAACAGAGTTCACCTCTGCCCCAGGATTTCTACTGCTATAAATGTAACCTGAGTAAGTCTGAAATACTTAAACTTTCAGACAAGGGCATTTTTCTCAGCTCCACCTGTGTGTCCACTCTTACTTACTGAGCCTACATCCTTTGGTCAACCCTGCTGGCCTTCCTCTACTTAGTTCATTCCATCTCACCAAAACTCTACGGTGCAGGTACCATGACCCTTATTCCAAGGAAATGCGATTAAAGAGGTAATTAAGGTTACTTAGGAAGTGGCCATGGTAGGACTTGCAACCAGAGGGTTTAATACTGTATTCTCAGCCACTACAAATAAAAATAATACGTAAAACAACAGAAAACTAGGTCAATAAACTTGCATGTACTCATCATTAAAAACCTTATTTTCAAAGGGTTTATGCAAAAAGGAAACATCTCTAATATTTACTTCATACTAAATGAGAGGAATATTTAAAACTACAGATAAAATTAAAAGCCAATTTTGTTTAGAAGTATGTCTGTGCAGACAAACAAAAAGGGTAAAATGGAAGCACATCATCTAATTACCAGTTGTTTGTTTCTGGATGATGTGATGGTGATTTTTACTTTATTTTTTTCAGTGATTCCCAAAATGTCTCCCAACAGGAAATACTTTTTTATTTAATTTTTTTAAGGGAAACAAAGCAACAACAGAAATTCTCAACTGTATTTGCTTAATTTGAATAAACAAAGGACATGTCGATAAATGTACATTAATGCACACCTTCAAGGAATTTGAGACTGGACAACTACGTTGAAAGAGATACTAAATTGAAAAGGCTTAAACGTAATTTTTAAATGTGTGATGAAAGAAGGGAAGATTAGGTGAGAGATCACTATTTTAGCAGCCCAGCATCTCTGCTGGAACTACAAGGTCCATCACATGAGAGGGGTTTCCACCACTATTCCTTTCTCATAGTAAACGGGAAAAATTCACCTTACAGAATTTGCTTGATAGCCCAGTTAACAGAAATTTAAACAGCACATAAAATAGATTTTAGTAAGAGAAAACCATTTCAACTCCCAACACAAACTCAAAAATCATTGGAATCCTAAAGGCATTTTGGAATTAACTAAATTCTGGTAACTTACAGAGCAAAGTTTAAAAGATTTTTTAAAAAAACAATTAAAAACAAATGTGTAAATGACCCATTTCTGTACTATTTTATTCAGAAGAGTTTTAACAGTTCCTTGCAAGGCAAAAGGGAATTAGATGTCTATAGAAGACCTATTTTGAGCGTTAAAAAAAAAATGAACATTTTTTCCAATTGATCTTTGGATGCATGTGTTTCAGCAGGTAAGTAGGAGAATGTGTAGCCTAATTGTGCCTTTCCTTTGTTAAAGTATAATATTACAAGCAGTTTTAATATTTTGTAAAGAATGTTGGCAGAGTACTTTCTAGGAACACAACAATTTAAAAGCTAATAATAACATTTTTGCCACAGACTATCAGGCAGAGTACTTTCTAGGAAGAAAACAATTTAAAAGCTAATAGCATTTTTGCCACAGATTATCAAAAGTTTTCCGCACAGATGTGGAGTTATATTTCACTTTAATTTTGAAATATAAGGTGTAACTTAGGACTTCAGAGAAATAGTGCATACAATTCTTAGGCATGTGCACCTCCAAGAAAACGTGCTAAAAAAAAAAAAAAAGAAGAAGAAGAAAAGAAAACATTGCTTCCACTTCATTTTGGAAGCCCGTTAAACAAGTTATCAATGCAAGGATTGGAAAAGAATGAAAAATCAAGAAAGAACATAGCCGCTAGTAGTTACCATCCCATACAACGGCATTAATAACTAATCTGTAAGTATCTTAGAAAGAAAATCTTGGAACTGTATAAGCTCACCCTTACCTGCGCTGAGGCCAAGAAATGAAAAAGGGTGATTCAAAAATCTTCTGAAAAGGAAGAGTCCTATTCAGAAACCCAAGGGTAAGAGGACCCGCCCACTTCCCCTGGAGGACTCGTTGCTATGGGAACCCGCAGTAACCCTGTAAAGCCAGTAACCTACAGGGGAAGAAGATCCTCCCCGAGGTTAAAGTTAAAACAGGGGATCTGGCGGAGGGTTGAGTGGAGGACTGAGGTAGGGTTAAAAGAAGGGGAAAGCCTTTGGCTGGGCATGGGGTCAGTGAAAGCGGGCTTAGTAACCCCAACAGAAATTCAAAACAGCACTTAGAACAATTGTTTTGAGTGCTAGAGTCACATTATAGTTCATAAAGTTTGAACCATTAGAGACACTTCCCGCCCTCCCTGGTGGGAAACAAACCCCCCTTTGTGAGTTCCTGTCTAGGAAAATGAATTTGAGTTTCATCTCACCAATTACAAACCGCATGCTACTTACTATGTGAAACTAAACTCTTGACTTTCTTACATTAAACCAGTATTTCCAAACTCGGCTGCGCGATCACCTGGGGATCTTTAAAAAACACACTGTGTTAATTGGTCTGGTGTGCGATTAGGCATGAAGAGTTTTAAAACTCTCCAGCGACTCCTCTGTGCAGCCAAGTTTGGGGAAGCCGTATTACAGGATTTGGCGAGGTGGCGGGGAATGTTTAAAAAAGAAAAAGCACGGTGATCTCCCTTGGTCTTTTGAGGCCTAATAATAGAATTAGCTCGCTTTCAGCAGGCACACACAGGACAATGGGCTGCTTGATAAATAGGGATCCCCAGCAGGCCGGAACAATACTTTCTTTGAAAACGCCAGGAGGTAGAAGCCTTCTCTTCCCAAGAGAGCAAACATCCTTCTTCCCGAACACCAAACTTATACGTCTATTTTAAGAGCAAACGGGCCACGAATGCCACTCAGAACTCGGAGGACGAGTTCCAGCCTCAGGAGGAAGCCGCCCCCGCCATCGCCCGCCGCCACTCGCTGGGTTGCCGCGGCGCCTGAGGCCGCGCAAACCCGGAGCGTCGGTCCCCGGAGTCCCCCACGGACCCTGCTCACCGCGCCCCGCCGGCAGCGCCTCAAGAAAGTTACTTAGGGGAAGTTTGCTCCGCTTCCCACCGCGCGCCTCCCCGGGAGAGGGGCGCGGCCCCCGCCACCTGCTAGGCGCCAAGGCTTCCCGACCGCGCCCCCTGCTTGGACCTCCGCCACCTCCGGGGTCGCGCACCCCGCGGGCGTCCGCACTGCCAGGAGGGCTCGTGCGCCCCTCCCGGGGTCCCTCGGCTGAGGCGGCCCTGCCCCTCCGCCCCGGGCACCAGGACCACCGCACGGGCCCGACGCACCCCACTGGGAACCCCTCGGGAAGCCAACCCGCGCGGCGAGCGACTCTGGAGCCCGGGGGGCGGATATGGGATCCACCGGACCCCTGGGTCCGAGGCCGACCTGCGCCCCCCGGCCCAGCTTCTCCTCGCTTCGCTTGGCCCCTCCGGCCGGCCGCCGGGCGCGCGCCCCTGCCCGGGCGGTCCCGCGCTGCGCACGCGCGGAGGCGCCGGCCCGCTCGCCCGCGGCGCCCTCACTCACCGCCCGCGCTCCTCCTCGCCTCGGGCGACGCAGCCGTCCGCCGCCTTGCCCTGTGCCCGCTCCTCAGGCCCCGGCCGGGGCACTCGGAGATCCAGCGCCCGGCGGGCTTGGCGGGCACTCGCACGCAGGGCACGCTCTGCGGGAGCGAGCGCGCGTGCCCGAGCACCGGGAGGGAGTGGGGCAACATGGGCGGTGCTCCCGGAGGCGGCCCTGGATACGGGGCATGCGCAATGTCTGCCCTTTCCTAAAGTAGGAGTGAGGGGTGGGCGGGAACCCTGGCCTGGAGGAGGCGGGGAGGGTGGAGGAGAGCCAGCACTCCCCCATCTCTGAGAGGCGACCTCGTCCTTGTCCCACAAACTGCATTTTTTCTCTCTGGGGCATTCATCAATGAATATATTAAGCATTTATTGAACACTTGCATTGGCAGAGCGGATGTGCGGGATACAGCGCATCCTCCGGTAATAGGGGGCCGAATACATTTGGCTTTGGGGCTCATTTTCAGGCGCTGATGCCAGCCCTCTCTCTAACAGATAAGGAGGGTGCATAAATAGAGGTCTCGTAATACCTAACGACTACACTCTTCAGTGATCTGGGGAAGGAGAGTAGCTGCTGGTTGGGTTAATCATGAAAACTTAAACAGCATATGAATCCATGCACCCTGTCGGGGACAAGTTTAATCTGAGTGTATTGTTCTTAGTGAAAGATGAAAACGGCGGCCGGAAAGGTAGTTTCAGCTCATCTGGAAATAATCTTTAATGCTTAGCACGACTTCACCCTTATTCCGTTGATAATTGAGAGGCACAGAAGAAGGGGAGAAGGGGAGCCTGGTGGTGGCTTGATTAAATGCAAAATTTAGGAATATAAAGTGAAGGCTAGAGATATGAAATGCTGTAGTGTATGTTCTAGGTAATAAGTAGTAGAGTCCTAAGTTCAAGGGTTGGTATCAGGCATGGAAAGGGTCGAAAAGTTTCCAGAGACTGTGAAGGACAGAATGATGCCCTTACTTATGTCACTGCTGAGATGTTTATCATGACAGGCGCCTACTTCATTAGATTAGATCATCATCCTTGGCAAAATGTGTATCAGTGGATAAATTAGACCTATACAATACTGTTAGGACCAGTAGATGCTTCTTTTAGCATGAGTTTGGCCCTGGGAGAACATATTTCTGCTCAGTTGGAAAATCATTAATTTGAGAGACAACATATATAGTGAAAGACACCTAGGCTTTGGAAAACAAAAACCCCTTTGATAAAGTCCAAATACCTCATAATAAACTATATTGTCCAAATTAGTTATTATCTGTGAGCCTTCCTGTGTTCATCTGTAACATGAGATCATGATATTTACCTTGTATAATGGTAAGTTTTATGTGTCAACTTGGCTAGATCATGGTATCCAGATATTTGGACAAACAGTCTAGATGTTTCAGTGAAGGTATTTTTTAGATGAGATTTACAATGAAATCAGTAGACTTTGAGTAAAGCTGATTACTCTTAATAATGTGTATGATTTTCATCCAATCAGCTGAAGACCTTAGTAGAAAAATGCTGACTTCCCCTAAGCAAGAAGGAAGACTGGCAGCAAACAGCCATTGACTTGCACCTTTTGCCTGAGCCTGCAGCCTGCCTACCTACTCTGCAGATTTTGGGGTTGCCAAGCCTCCACAATCATGTAAGCCAATACCTTAAAATAAGCCACAATCATACAAGCCAATACCTTTCTCCTTCTCTTTTTCTCACTCTTAAACTGCAAAAACAAAACAAAACGAAACAAAAAAACAGACAGCAGGTCCAAAATGGAGTCACTCATACTAGTGTCACATAACCAAACCAAAACTTGCGTTATTTCTTTGCAAGATCTGACCTTGTGAGAAATCAGAAGAGAGATAACAGTGAAATCCAATTAGACCAACAAGATGTTGCTTACATCTGTAGAAGTAACCTTGAAATGACCAACCATCTATTTGCTCTTTTTTTCTGCTTTCCTCTTCTTTTTTCTGCTGATAAAACTCACCCACTCTGTTTAGCTCATCAGTTTCTTTCTAGTTTGTAGACTAGATGCTGCCCAGTTCATGAATTGCTAATAAAAGCCAATCAGATTTTTGAAACTCAATTTGGTGAATTTTTTAAATTGACATATATTTAAAATAGATACACAGATACATATCCATCCTGTTGCCTCTGTTTCTCTGGAGAACTCTGGCTAATACACCTTGAAAGGTTGTGAAAATTATGTAAATTAATTCTCATCTGAAAAACAAGCATTATAATCTTTAATTTGTGAGGCTGTAAAAAATTAAACACAAGTGCGTGAAGCACCCAGTTCATAGCAGAACCTGAGTAAATGACAGCTACTATTACTTGTGAATGAACACTGAAGGGAAAAAACAAAGAGATAGGATAGATATTAGCACTTTGAAAGCCTTTTCTCAGTTCACTGGGTAATAAATATGTAAAAAACAGATTTAAGAGGTAAAAGAAAATTTTGGTGTCCCTAGCTCTGACACACTAAAAATGTGATAAATATTACAATTACTTGCATAAATTCCTTAAGAACCATTAACTAAAGATAGACTCTAGCTGTACTCTCCAACACCAAACATGCAAAGCAGCGATATGAAGTCATAGCTAAACAGTTTACTCCAATTTGAGTTCCACTTGAATTCACTCTGCTTGCTACTAGGAAGGAGAAACCTGGAAGGAGTTTACTTTTGAAATAATTCCAATGTCACAGAGTAGGTGCATGCTAGAGCACTCAATCAATGTGTTTGGTGAATAGGCTTCTGGATGAGCTGATTGTTCTGGGGAGCATGCAAAAGTGCTTAAAATATTCCATTTATTCTACAAATATTACCAGTTTTTATGTACTAGGCAGCATCCTGCCCTCAGAGAATTTATCAAATAGCATAGAAAAATGCATAACTGTAACTATAATTTAAGGCAGAATGTGACAAGTGCCTTCAGGGGAACATAAATGGTTGGGCCAATTGTACCTTGCTCAGGTAGTTTAATGCTGAGGGCTCACTTTCCTAATCATGTCTCCACAGTGGTTCCCAGCTTTGCATATTTTCTTATGGTGAAAGCCAATGAAATGCATGAGCATCGTGTAAATATGTTTTGAGCAAAGTTGGTAAATATCAAGTCAACATTCTCATTCCACTGACTCTTTTACTTCTGAGTTCACGTTCAGAGGGTGAAGCAGGAGAAGCACAATCCATTCAAATGTAACAGTTTATCCTTTTCTTCCTCATTATTTGTCTTGGCTGTTTCATTTAAGGCAGATTTAACTTTAGAGTGAAAAACAAAAAATACAGGTAATTTTTCTGACTTAATGAAGATTTATGAGCAAAATACATAAAAACTAACATGAAAATAACAAAAGGTAGGGCTTAGATTTATGAAAGGGTGATGAATGATTGAGTTGGAAACCATTAACCAGGGGGACAAAGATGACAATCATGTTTGTCCTATAACCAGCATTGTCACAAGGTGACTCCTTTTTCCTTTTGGCTGACAACGAAATACTCCACCATGCATAAGTACAAACAAACTCCAGGAGTGACAAAAACAAATGATTTGGGGAAAATACACATTTTAGTATATTTTAAATAATGTGAAAGGTATTTTATTATGAGAATTTGTGAATATATTAATTTTACAAGTTTTGTCACAGTGACTTGGGAAATAAATGTATCTGGAACTAAAGGAAGCCCTGTACTACAAAATAAAATGTTTTAGAAATTGAAAGAAATGGTCTCAAGCCATGGATGATAATTCTCATCTGATGTTCCATGAAAGAGTCATATAAGCAAAGTGACCCCCAAATGCTAAAGGAGCCAAGAAGCCAAAGAGAAGGCAGACAAATTTAGTTTGTTGGTGTTGATGAATTTATTAGGGGACTTAGAGACAGAAGCATGGCCTTGGGTAGCCACAAGACAAGTAGATCTCTGCACCTGTTACTCCCCAGACCCAACGTTTATCTACTATAGGGAAAAGGTATACATATTCCAGCAAGACAATGAAAGGCAGCTCTCCAAAACAAGAAGGAATGCTATGTGTGTCACAATCTCTAATTTGTGTGATAACATCAAGGTTGCTTTACTCTAAAAGCAGGAGTAGAGTTTCTTACACTAGGGACAGTAAATAAAGTAGCAATCAGGTGGTGTTCACGGGACTGGGGCTGATCAGAATTTAACACTGTAGATTAGCATCCAAGATGGAGTCACTTTTGTCTCCATACCTGATGAATAATAGCATGATACTAGGAGATGTGAAATAAGTTAAAATATATCCTGGGCCAGAGTTTTATATATAAATATAAATATATATATATGTGTATATATATGTGTGTGTGTGTGTGTATGCTAGCTCTAAATGGTTTAAAATTAGACTGAAAACAGAATTAGCCATACATTATTCATATGCAGCATTCTCCCTTTCATGGTCTTTCTTTTTATTGATGCTGTTCAAAAAAATTCAACCACATCAGTATCGCAGGTAGACTGTTGTCCACTCAATAAAGAGAATAGTAATGTAGGGGTTTCTTAGAGCAAATGGTCCCCAACTTTTAATGATTAGATTTACAACTTTTCGACTTTATGGTGGTGTGAGTTCAGTAGAAACTGTAATTTGAATTACAGCGTGTTCCCAGGCTAGCAATATTTGGTTCGACACTCTCTCACTATGCTGAGAAGTCAGCCACAGCTCCCAGCCAGCTACTTGATCACAAGGGTAACAGCTGATACTCTACAGTGTACTACAGTCTGCAAATTACATGATATATTGAACACTTTATTATAAAACAGTATTTGTGTTAGATGACTTTGCCCAACCCTAAGCTAAGTGTTCCAACCACATTTAAGATAGGCTAAGCTAAGCTACGATGTTTGTAGGTTAGGTACATCAAATGCATTTTCCAATTACTATGCTTTCAACTTATGATGGGTTTCTTGGGCTGTTACTCCATTGTAAGTTGAGGAGCATCTGTGGAAAAATATTTGACCATGAAAAAATCCGAATTTAATAAAATGGCTAGCAGGAACAATATTGATTATTGTTTAGAAGTTCTATCTCCCTTATTCCTTTAAGATTTTATTCAGCAAGACTGGTTCAACATATGCAAATCGATAAACATAATCCAGCATATAAACAGAACCAACAACAAAAATCACATGATTACCTCAATAGATGCAGAAAAGGCCTTTGACAAAATTCAACAACCCTTCTGCTAAAAACTTTCAATAAATTCGGCATTGATGGAACGTATCTCAAAAAAATAAGAGCTATTTATGACAAACCCACAGCCAATATCATACTGAATGGGCAAAAACTGGAAGCGTTCCCTTTGAAATCTGGCGCAAGACAGGGATGCCCTCTCTCACCACTCCTATTCAACATAGTGTTGGAAGTTCTGGCTAGGGCAATCAGGCAAGAGAAACAAATAAAGGGTATTCAATTAGGAAAAGAAGAAGTCAAATTGTCCCTGTTTACAGATGACATGATTGTCTATTTAGAAAACCCCATCGTCTCAGCCCAAAATCTCCCTAAGCTGATAAGCAACTTCAGCAAAGTCTCAGGATACAAAATCAATGTGCAAAAATCACGAGCATTCCTATACACCAATAACAGATAAACACAGAGCCAAATGATGAATGAACTCCCATTCACAATTGCTTCAAAGAGAATAAAATACCTAGGAATCCAACTTACTAGGGATGTGAAGGACCTCTTCAAGGAGAACTACAAACCACTGCTCAGTGAAATAAAAGAGGACACAAACAAATGGAAGAACATACCATGCTCATGGATAGGAAGAATCAATATAGTGAAAATGGCCATACTGCCCAAGGTAATTTATAGATTCAATGCCATCCCCATTAAGCTACCAATGACTTTCTTCACAGAATTGGAAAAAACTGTTTTAAAGTTAGCCACATGTGACTCAGGGCTATTGTATTGGAAAGCACAGATCTAGGACTAAGTTGTTGATTCTCAAACTTGATTGCACATTGGAATTACCTGACAAACTTGAAGTTTTTTTTTTTTTTTTTGAGATGCAGTTTGGCTCTTGTTCCCCAGGCTGGAGTGCAATGGCATGACCTCGGCTCACTGCAACCTCTGCCTCCCAGGTTCAAGGGAAACATTTTTGATATCTATATCACAGTTCCATAATTCCAGCATATTTGTTCTGGGGTGCTACTGGGGCATTGAGAGTCTTTTTAAAGGTATTTAGGTGATTCTAATATGTAGCAACGTTTAAGAATTGCTAGTCTCACTTATTTACATATTTAGAAAAGCATGATCAGAACTTTGATATTATGAAATCTGTGGCAAGTATGAAATCCGTGGCAATTATTCTTACATTTTCTTTATTTAAAACCAACATTATCTAAAAATCATGTTGAAACATACTGGTGCTGAAATAGCATACATGGTATATGTACATCACTGGTATATTTTAATAAAATTAATAATTGCTAATAAAATGTCAACACTTTAATTTGGCCATGGGTTCAAATGTAACATGAATGATTCCAAGTAAGGATTTTTTCCTTTTTTTTTTTCTTTTTTGGGACAGGGTCTCACTCTGTCACCCAGGCTGGAGTGCAGTGGCACGATCTCAGCTTATTGAGACCTCCACCTGGCCCTCAACCTCCCAAGTATCTGGGACCA